ATGGATGGATGGATGGATGGATGGATGGATGGATGGATGGATGGATGGATGGATGGATGGATGGATGGAGAATAATGAGGAATAAATAACTGATCAGATTACCTGTCCTTTATCAACAACCATAAACCCAAATTAAACAGAATGAAGTAAGATCAATAGTGGAATGAAAGGTAAATGTAAAAAATGCTCCACACATTTGGAAATTCCTTGCAACTGTCAAAACATTCCAGATGAACATTTTGTGAAACTGCTTTACAGAATGCCAAAGTGCGACGTTTCAGTTAGATATTGGATCTTCGATTTTTTTCAACAATGTTAATATAACCCAAATAAAGAAAAAAACAGGGGGAAAAAAACTTCATAAGGAATAAAGAGATCTGTCAACTGGAAAAGGAAATGTTGCATTGATTCTGTCGGGAATAAGGAATGTGCCCAAAAACACTTGGCCGAGAGAAGATGCATGAATGCCAGACAGCTACAAAGACAGCCAAACAGACACACCCACACACAGCTGTTCTGTGTGAAATTAAATGGTAGTTCCAACATTCATGAATCCCAAGGAGTAAAGTCCTTTCCTAAAAAAATCACCAATGTCAATGTCTCACCTCTTGGCCCAGCCCCACAGGGTCCAAAACACCTTATTAAATTGAACATTTTCAACCCACAGTGTAGTAAGTAATGTTGCAATTGCTGTAAGCAATCTTGGTAAAAAATTAAATGAGCAAAGGAGCGTGAAAAGTCCCAAATATTAAAAAGACGATGAAAGACTACAAGGCATAAGAGTCTTGTGATCTACAGTCACAGTACTGTATAATGTATCATTGATGCCTCCCTCTCTTTGACCCATTTCTGTATCACCATGTAGTAGCTCAGGGTAAGAGTGCAGTGAGCTGATGTGAGTGTCTGTAAAAAGAAGGTTTGTGAAACAGATCTCATGAATGTGGAGTCATAGGATGTGATATTTAGTGTAAAGATGAAGCAACAATGGCCATTCTTGCTTTTCTTAAAACAAAGTAACATATCAGATTGACAAAGTTTAAGTATCAGAAATATCAGTGAAAGCAATGAACAAATATGCAGCAGTAACAACAAGGTTTTCAAACAAAAATCTGCTTAAATTCGGAGGGAGTGATGTGGCAAATAAGTACAGTTGTGACTAATAAAGAAAACATGAAAATTGAGATGATAACTACTCAAGGGAAAAAACGTAGCAGCTACTCTTAGGATCTAAATGATGGAGGAAAAAATGAAGGGAACACAGAACTAATACGTTCAAAACTGATTAAACTAGAGAACAGATTGGGAAAATAAAGAATACATTGATAATGAAAAGACCACAACCCAAAAGAGACCAAAAAAATAACACAAACTTAGTAAATCCATTTATTTAAAATATGTATCCATAGAAAATACAAGAATCTCAAAAGCAATAAAGTCAAGACAAATAATTATGGGTCATAGCAGCAATAATATCTCTTCAGTGCCACTTATGATTAGCATCAAAAGATAGATAGATAGATAGATAGATAGATAGATAGATAGATAGATAGA